TTGCTGATCGTGAATCAGTGTGCCATCAGATTTCTTGATTACCTCAGTTGAGGAAGATCCTTGTAGAATTTATGAATGGGAGAACAAGGATGGTAAACGGGAAGAGACTGGAGCGAAGAAGCTAAGATCGGTACTGGTTCGGTCTTCCTCCAATGCCTGTCTGATAGGAGCTCAGAATGGATTGACGATAAATCTCGCTGACTGAAAAACATGCATCACAAACGGGACCAGCGGCGTGAGTGACGTACACCAGGTACCGCGGATGCTCAGAGCTAATCCAGTGTGGAAGTCCATATGGTGAATAATAATAATAATAATAATAATAATAATAATAATAATAATTGTGCCAGTCTTCCTGATGTTGAACAACGCTTGTTCAGACATCGTCAATAGGTTTTGTTCCTCACTGGTAACATGTGTGTTTTGCGGCAAACGAATTCAATTTGCAGTGATCTTAGACAAATCAATTACACAAAGACGTACGTAATATGAATGGGAACCGAAATGGATGGTTTATATTACCTTGGACTCGCTGATCACGTATCATCCAGTAAACAACACTACCAACGTCCGGATTTTTCGAGTCTTCCGTTGAACAACCACCAAGTTCCGGGAAGTAATTCGGTCCTTTTAACTGACGAACCCGACATTTGGCAAATTTGAATTCCGAAACAGATGAACCAGCCGCTTCTATCCGATTTTTCCCGATCCCTTCTATCCATGCGTCTAATTCGCTCAGAGCAGTTTTTGAGACCTTGGTCAGTTTGGACATAGCTGTGGACAAATCGGATACGAGAGGCTTTACAAAACTGACTGTGCGAGATAATGAGAAGTATAGACATTTCCTTGGATTGAACACTGACACACTAGACAAAGAAGCGAAAGCTCGGATCCAAATCCAACTACGAGTGATGATGTTGTACTATCATTTATGTGTTGTGTAACCAGCACGAAGAAATTGCACCTTGACGCGGTGTGATGCCTTGTGCACCTCTGTGACCAAACGAGTTATACAGGATGGCTTTTATCAAGCCAGATCTTATCATGCCTGGAAGGTCAGTGGACAGGAAGTTTGACGAATGTCAGTCTCCTGATCCTCCAGCTTGAGGATTCAACTGGAATTTCCGTTTCAATCAGGAAAGAATGGTGGACGAAGAATCGAGTCTCAAGAAGGAGCGTGAGAATTGGTGGGCAACGATAGCTAGTGAAATGGAAGTAGCGGCTGCATCAGGGAATAGTCAAAGACTGTTCCGACTGATACGCAATACGGGAGGTCGACGAACCTTAGTTAGTGAAACAGTCTGCGATAAGAGGGGACAAGCTATTCACAATAAGGATCAACGACTCG